ACTATGTAACAATGACGCGTACATACTATGTAACAATGACGCGTGCATACTATGTAACACTGACGCGTACATCCATAGCAGCCCCTGACCAGTAGACCATTAGCCAGGCTGCAGCCGCGGTATGAGACGCGTGTTCCCTGTAATCGACTTTCGGGGAGATAATCCAGGAGCTAGTTACAGTCTTAACTATAAGCCGTCGCTGCCGGCAGTACACGCGGCATTCACTGCAGACATGCGCCACTCACAGCAACATCAACGTCATCATTTATTCGGCAAGTCATATCGCGGAGGTGCTCGCTTCTTAAAACCACCAGTCTGACAATACAGCAGCGCTTTATCGCGCTAGCTGTGTGTGTGTGTGTGTGTGTGTGTGTGAGTGTGTGTGTGTGTGTGTGTGTGTGTGTGTGTGTGTGTGTGTGTGTGTGTGTGTGTGTTACGTTATACAATTCGAACAATTCGATGGCGGGATCAAGAATAGGGCTTTGTATTCAACAACAACTACAATGTTGATATTTATGGCGTGTACTGCACACACGGATCGGCTTATGATCGGCTTACCAAATTCACTTGTCTTAAAATCGTAATTTTAGAGGTAATCACTAAGCATGAATGAAAAATTACGCTTACCCGTGAAGCAAACCAATGAGTCATTCCATCGCAGCGTAATCCTCATGTTGCGTCACAGACACGTACAGAAAAAGCCGCTCTCACAATTACCACCGCCGCACTCGACTTAAATGCAATCTTACATGCGTGATCTGCAGAAAAGCTGTGCAGAAAGTCTGTCGAATCTGTGCGCCCGGGCAGTGCTTTCAGTCTCGTCGAAATTTGTTCCAGGGACATCCAGCCAGTGCGCGCAGTCTAGCTGCCTCGCTGCGTACAGCAATTCCTGCTCTATAGCCACTTTCACTTATTCCACATGCACACGCGCGTACTCTCGGTTATGGCCCGCCTTGCATCCGCATCGGCTGCTAATAATATTAAGCCTCAAAGGGAGTCTGCGGAAGCGTCTTTCGGCGGTGCTTCTGTTGCGGCGCAAAAAAAACACAGATTCGACTCTGCCTCGTGCCGTGGTCGAAAACTCCGGCGAAGAGTGCCTCGATCCCCATGTATCTGCTTGCAGTGGTTCAAAGGAAATGAGTGGGCGAGCTAGCGATACTTGCGAGCGTGCGTGGGTGTGTCCGTGCGCACGTGTGTGTGTGTGTGTGTGTGT